AAGCCCTTTTGACGTCGTAAGCAGTGTGAGTCCGGTGGGTTGTGCGGGATTGTCATAGGGTTTTTCTACTGGACTTACGCGGTCAAAAAGGGCTAGGGACTTCTTGCCCAGCGGGAGCTCATAAAACAGACAATTCTTCCGCACGTCCCGCGCTCGTAACGACCAAGCTCGCGCGCACGACGCTGCATTCCCCCTAAACCCTAAACCCTAAACCCTAAACCCTAAACCCTAAACCCTAAACCCTAAACCCTAAACCCTTGGCTCCCTGGCTTCCGCTCGACAACTAGGGGCTTCGGTTCCCCCTTACACCCTGCCTCTCTCTTTTCTTCCAGGGCCCCGTGTCAAAATGGACACCCCCGAAGATAGTGACAAGTGTGGAACATCCCTTGCTTGCGTGAAACCCCCTAAAAATGCTCCAAGCCCTAGGTAACTCTGCCAACTGCATGAAAGATCTAAGATCGAAGACCGCAAGACCTACCCAAACCCTAAACCCTAAACCCTAAACCCTAAACCCTAAACCCTAAACCCTAAACCCTAAACACCTCCCTAAATAGCCCGAGCGGCTGCACCACCACGGCATCGGCCAGGTCTGTGCCGAAGGCGCAGCAGACCAATCCATAATCCCCGAAGCGGTCCTGGAATGTCAGGGAGGGGGGTTTAGGGTTTGGGGTTTAGGGCTTAGGGTTTAGGATTTGGGGTTTAGGGTTTAGGGTTTAGGGTTTAGGGTTTAGGGTTTAGGGTTTAGGGTTTAGGGTTTAGGGTTTAGGGAACCTTAAAGAAGCTTGGGGAGAGTAGTGGGGAGTATTAGGGAAGCTTGGGTTACATACCCCCCTTGAACCCCCATCCCTCAAGGTCTACCCAGCTATTTGGGGCCCTTACTATGGGCCCTTGCCTCCTTGAAAGGGTTCTGAAGCCTGGGTCCTAGGGTTGTATAGGATATATCATAAGGCGTCCATAAGAGGTCCCCCTCGGGCCCATACAAAGCGACCATGCAACTCCCCTAAGATGGAACGCCAGGGCTTCAGAGCACGCTGGCTCAGGGCTAGGGCCAGTTAAACGCTCGAAAAGAGCCCCGAACCCGTCCAAAAGCCTACTTAGAGCCCTAAATACCCTAAATACCCTAAACCCTAAACCCTAAATACCCTGAAGCCCGAAAAGCCGCTTCGGGGCCCACACCCTCAACCCTAAACCTTGAAACCCTCAACCTTTAAGCTGTACTACACCCTACACCCTACACCCTACACACTAAACCCTAAACCCTAAACCCTAAACCCTAAACCCTACACCCTACACCCTAAACCCTAAACCCTAAACCCTAAACCCTAAACCCTAAACCCTACGGCCCGGTGAGTTGCGCTGGGAAGCGCAACTTCGCATGCAGGCGGGTCACGGACACCCAGGTGGCGAGGATCCAGTGCCCATCGCCTTTGGGTTTTGGGTTTTGGGTTTAGGGTTTAGGGTTTAGGGTTTAGGGTTTAGGGTTTAGGGTTTGGGGTTTGGGGTTTGGGGCTTGGGGTTTAGGGTTTAGTTTAGGCTTTAGGATTTTGGGCTTTAAAGCTTTAAGGGCTTTGAGGTCTCCGGCACTTGGGAGCCCTAAAACCCTAGACCCTAAACCCTAACCCTAAACCCTAAACCCTAAACCCTCGAAGCCCTAAACCCTAAACCCTAAGCCCTAAACCCTAAACCCTAAACCCTAAACCCTAAACCCTCGAAGCCCTATGAGAGCCCTGATGCCTGCCAGCCACTCGGCCACAGCAGTTTCCGACGAAAAGCGGAGCTGCGTGGAGTTCATCCTCAAGCAAAGAGGGAGGGCTGAGGGCTGAAGGCTTAGGGTTTCGGGTTTAGGGTTTAGGGTTTGGGGTTTAGGGTTTCGGGTTTAGGGTTTGGGGTTTAGGGTTTAGGGTTTAGGGTTTATGGTAGGTGGCGCAGTGGCCTAAGAACGAACATGGTGCGGGTTTAAGGCTCAGGGTTGGGGACTTGGGGTTAGGGTCCCTGAACCCTTACCACTTACACCCTAGACCACAAACCCAAAACCGTAAACTCTATGGTCTGAAGGTCTTGCACCAAGTCCTGGGGCCCAGGGTTTTAGAGGGTGGCTGGAAGACCCTCAGCACTCGAACCGGCCCTCATTTAGGAGGTTGTTGGGACCCTTTAGTTTCGGGTTCAAGGTTCGGAGTCTAGGGCTTCGGGCTTAGGTTTCAGGGTTCAGGGTTGAGGGTTTAGGGTTAGGGTTTAGGGTTTAGGGTTTAGGGTTTATTTAGGGTTACACCTTGAACCATAAGTGCTGGAGAAGGGGGGGGGGGGGGGTATGACTGGGGCACGGTGCTGGGGCTTGCCACAAGAGTGTCAGGATTTTATGTTTATGCCTAAGCTCCAAAGCCGAAAACCCTTCGGAACTCCCAGAGCCTAAACAGCTGGACTTCCGAAGAACCCGAGCAAGCCTAAACAACCTCATCCCCAAACAACCATGAACAACCAAAACCGGGAGAAACTGGCCTTGAACAACCGAAATAAAACAGCAAAGACAAGCTCTAGCATACCCCAAGCCAACCGCAACGACCCTAAGCCCAGGGAAAGTCCAACAAACCCACCCACCCTCAGCTCCGAAACCCCTCAGCCAGCTTGGGCTGTGAAGGTTTTTTGGGTTGAAGGGCTCCGGCTTGGTGCCTCTAGCAGGCTTTGGAGGGGCCTTGAGGGTTGCTTTGAAAGTTCATGTTTTCAAGATATCGCGGGCGTCGGGGGTTCAGGCTTGGGGCTTGAAGGGTTGATGGCTTGAGAGTTTCAGGATTTTGGTGGGTTTCTGTGGGCTTTTCTTTTTGTGTTTTTTTTGGGGGGGTTAGGGTTCAGGGTTTGTGGTTTAAGAATGTGTACCGAGTCGCTGGTTGGTGCGTTGACTGAGCTGGCTGACGCGCACCTGCTTCTAAACGCTTTAGGGTTTAGGGTTTAGGGTTTAGGGGTTTAGGGGTTTAGGGGTTTAGGGGTGTAGGGGTTTAGGGGTTTAGGGGTTTAGGGGTTTAGGGGTTTAGGGGTTTAGGGGTTCAGGGTTTAGGGTTCAGGGTTTAGGGTTTAGGGTTTAGGGTGTAGGGTTTAGGGTTTAGGGTTTAGGGTTTAGGGTTTAGGGTTTAGGGTTTAGGGTTTCAGAAACCCTGAAACGGTCTCGTGCTCAGTCACTGGGGTTTCCAGGGTTGAGGGTTTGGGGCTTAAACCTCCTCAGCCCTCAACCACCCTCAGCCCTCCAATGTCCAGCTACCCTACAAGTACCGCTAAAGCCTCAACTACACCCGACAACCTTATGAACCCTGAACCCTCAACCCCTAAACCATACACCCTCAACCCTAAACCCGAAAACCAACCTCACGTCCGACGGCTGCTTTGGCACAGCCAGCTTTGCCGTGGGCTTCTCTGTCATGGCCGTGGCGTGGGATGCACGGAGGACGGCTGCGACTACTTGGACAGCTTGAGGCATGGGGTTTGCCGGCGCCGGCGTGGACTGGGTGCTGCATAATTTGCCGGTTCGACATTGGGAGTGGCGCAGGGATGCCCCGTGTCGTCTGCACTGCCGCCCCAGGTGCCATTGGCGTCGACGTCGGAGCACTTTGCTGTGCCGACTTTGGGCCATCCAAAGGGGGGCTCACGATATTAGGGGTCCCCTTTTTGGGGTCCTTATTATGCGGGGATCCTACTATTTGGGGTCTGCGTTAGGGCTCCCCTGCTATTGTAACCCCGCAGCCCACTCAACCATCCCGAAACCCACAAGTACCCGTCAAACCCTCAATCTATTCAGCAACATCAAAGCCCAACTTCCCCATACACCCGCAATTGAAAACCCTGACAGCAAAACCTAAGCCCTAAACGCTAAACCCGAAACCCTGAACCCTACACCCGATACACCCTACACCTAGACCCTCAACCCGAAACCCTAAACCCGCCAAAACCCTATAAGCTCTGGCTCAGCCCTGCACGCCTGGAACGTTAGCTTCGGGACCGGCTTTGGGTTTCAGAAGATGGTAGGCTGGTGGGTTAGAGTTTAGGGTCTAGGGTTTTGGGTTTGGGTTTGGAGCTCCGGGTTTAGGATCAGTTCAAAAGGTTTTTAAGTGTTTAGGGTGTAGGGGTTCACAAAGTTTAGGAGTTCAAAGGGCTTGGGGTTTAATTACGGCGAGGCTTTAGGTGAGTGGAACCCTTACGCGGTCCCTGTGATAGCGGCTCCAGAATATAAACGGCGCCGAGAAAAGAAACCTACATTATATACAACTGGCCTGAGGTTTTAGGGTGCGCAAGCGCTTGTGGTCTAGGGGTTTTACCTTGGACCCTTAAGGTTGTTCCCTTGGGTTTGGGGCACCCGTTTTGAAGGATCCTTAAGGTAGTATAAGGGCCATATTAGGTATCTTGGGGATCCCTTTGGGGGTACAACCTTAGGTTAGGAATACGAACGAGTCTTAACCCCTTGATGTGAAACTTCTCTGAGCTTCTATTTGCTTAAGAACCCCCCAACAAAACAAGAATCCCCATATTACCCCTTTAGGCAGAATACTTATTCCTTTTTGGAGGGGTTCTTAAGCAATTGGTAGTAAGCTTCCGGCCAATTCCGTCCCCGTAGGCGCGCGGACGTCGATGTGAAGCTGGCAGAACAGCGATTCCGCTTTGCGGTGGGGAAAGCTTTGTGTCCAGGGCGAAAGGTGGGCAGAACCCTAAACCCTAAACCCTAGACCCTAAATCCTAAACCCTAAACCCTAAACCCTTAAACCCTTAAAGCCTTCAACCCTTAAACCTTTCTCCGACAGGCAGAAGTAGTTGCTGCCCTCACGCCTTCAAAGCCTAAGCGCCATCCCGAAGCTGTTGCTGCAAGCCTTGTCTGAGGTTGCAGGTGTCAATCGGGGATTTCTCCACGTACAAGGTCTTCCTAGTACATACCCTCAAATAGTAAGATCCTTGGCTCCAGGAACCTAAAAACAGGGTACCCCACAATTTTTTGGAAACCCCCATTTGTGGTTGGGACAATGTCAGGTAGGTAGGTAGGTAGGGTAGGTAGGGTACGACCCACGGCAGTAGCCGCGGTCACCGCACTCTTCCCCCTCCGTATCTCAGGGTGGAGGGACAATGTCAGGATGGGGTTCAGCAGCATCGCTGAAAGCCCTGCAGCCTTTCAAAGCACAACGCAGCTTCGGGTGGCAGCTTTGGCCACATAGCCCTGAACTCTTGGGACATTCCCCTTGTAAGCCTTATACTGACAGTCCTTAGTAGGGATTCTAGTATAAGATTCTAGTACCCCTAGTATAATCCCTGTTAAGGACTGTTAGTATAAGGGGGAACATCCCAACGTAAAACCCCAAGCCCTAAACCCGGACAAGTGCAGGACAGGTTCGGGTTTCGGGTTTCTCGAGGGCTCAGGGTGCACTCTAGACCCGAAACTCTAACCCCAGCCAGGGTCACCTGCAAGGATGTCAGGAAGGACGCAAAGTCAGTCGAGGCCCTGCGCACCGCCTCCAGGCCGGATGGGCTTACGGAAAACCTCCACTTGAACCCTGGGATGCTGTGGGTTTAGGGGTTGGGCTTTGGGGTTTGGGGTTTGGGGTTTGGGGTTTGGGGTTTGGGGTTTAGGGTTTAGGGTTTAGGGTTTAGGGTTTAGGGTTTAGGGTTTAGGGTTTAGGGTTTAGGGTTTAGGGTTTAGGGTTTAGGGCTTAGGGTCTGGGGGTTTAGGGCTTTGGGTGTAATATGTTTAAGTAGGGTAGAGCAAGGGGTTTAGGGCTTAGGGCTTCGCAGGTGCTGAATACTGACCCCTAAGACCCTCGCTAAGCTTGCAGATCCAAACCTCCGCAACAGCCCAGACTCCAAGTGAACCCAATGCAGCTAGTGGAGCAAAACAAGAAGGCAATAGCGCGAATGATACCATTGACAGCCGCAAGCGAAAAAAAATAAAATAAAATAAGCCCTAAACCCTAAACCCCAAACCCCAAACCCCAAACCCCAAACCCTAAACCCTAAACCCTAAACCCACCTTCCGCTGAGCAGCCTCCCGGTACCTGGGGGCGAAATCGCGGGCCCGGAGCCGACAAACCCCTTAAGCCGACTCGACAGCTTACTGGGCAGGGTCTAGGGTTGAGGGTTTAGGGTTTAGGATGTAGGGTTTAGGGTTTAGGGCTTAGGGCTTAGGGTTTAGGGTTGAGGGTTTGGGGTTTAGGATTTAGGGTTTAGGGTTTAGGGCTGAGGGTTTGGGGTTTAGGATTTAGGGTTTAGGGCAGGGTTTTGGGCTTAGGGTTTAGGGTTGAGGGTTTGGAGTTTAGGATTTAGGGTTTAGGGCAGGGTTTTGGGGTTGGTTGTGGGTTTAGGGCTTTGGGGTTTAGGGTTTGGGTTTTGGGTTTGGGGTTTAGGGATGAGGGTTCAGGGTTTTGTGGTTTAGGAACTTGGGTGACTTTGGGGTTTTGTTGGGGCTTCGGGTTTGGGTTTGAGGGGCTTAAGGTTTGGGGTGTAGGATTTGGGGTTTGGGGTTTACTACTAATTGCTTAAGAGCCCCCCCCCCCCAAAAAAAAAAAAAAAATACTTCCTTATTAAGGGTAATATAGGGATTAATTAGCTACTCTTTTGGGGTTGTTTAGCAAAATTTTACGGTACGTATAGGGTGGGGTGGGTGGATGACATACCAAGCCCTAAACCCTGAACCCTAAAAACCCTGCACACCCTGGTCCCTGACCCTAAACCCTAAACCCTAAAACCTAAACCCTAAACCCTAAAACCTAAACCCTAAACCCTATACCCTAAACCCCGATGAAAACACCCCAAAAAACCCAAACTGGCCAAGTGTCATCTGCGTCCGCCTTGCATCTTCGACGGTCCGAGTACCGCTCCAGGCATCGAGAGCCCAATGGCCTTGCCAAGCAGGATTCTTAGAGGGTTTAGGGTTTAGATTTGAGGGTTTGGGGTTTAGGTTTTCAAAGGCTTTTGAGAAAGGTCTTTTACAATTCTTGAAACAAGGTTTTCAGTGTTTTCAGAAAGTGTGTGATAATGTGTGTCTGGCGCATTCTCCCCTGCATTTTAGGCATTTGTTGTTCAGGGTTGGGTTCAAGCCAGCCCAGAAAGCATAAACCCTCAACCCCCTTCAAAGCCCACCCCCCCTCCCCCCAATAAAAAACAAAAACACCCCCAAAAAAGAGCTAGACCCGACGCCCTGAAGGGAAACCCTAGTCCCCAACACCCTGAAACCCCCAAACCCTTAAACCCCAAACCTCCAACCCTAAACCCTAAACCCCTAAGCCCTAAACCCTAAACCCTGAGCCCAAAACCCCAAACCCTAAACCCTAAACCCTAAACCCCAAAACCCTAAACCCTAAACCCTAAACCCTAAACCCGAAACAGCCGGGAGGCTTCGGATCATCCTGCAGCTCGCCGCTGCTTCGCTGGGCACGAGGATGGTTAGCACCTGGGATAGGGTTTAGGGTTTAGGGTTTAGGGTTTAGGGTTTAGGGTTTAGGGTTTAGGGTTTAGGGTTTAGGGTTTAGGGTTTAGGGTTTAGGGTTTAGGGTTTAGGGTTTAGGGTTAAGGGTTAAGGGTTTAGGGTCTAGGGTCTAGGGTCTAGGGTCTAGGGCTCAGGCCTTAGAGCTTAGGGTTTAGGGTTTAGGGCTTAGGGTTGAGGTTTTATGGGGTTTATAGGGCTTATGGGTTCCATATGGCTTCTATACACCTGGGCTGTTTCCAGAAGCGGCGACTAAA